ACAAGACAAACCATATATTCAATCATTTTTTGAGAAAATTGTAGAGAGAGTTCCTAAACAAATAACAACCAAAATGATATTTTTTCTACAAAACTATTTATATAGCAACCTGATTTCGTAATCAACACAATCCATTTCATAGTCAACCTACAAAAAAAAAAAATTCAAAAAATTACACGATTTCGCATATACAATGAGAGGATTTCGCAGATGGACCTACTCCATCTGCGAAATAACCCCTATATATACTTTCGCAAAAATTAAAAAAAAAAAAGGCCATTTGCGAAGGTACAAGTGCCTAAAGCACAACTGTGCTTTAGGCACTTGTACTTTCGCAAAAAGGCCATCTGCGAAGGTACAAGTGCCTAAAGCACAACTGTGCTTTAGGCACTTGTACTTTCGCAGATGAGAAGGTACTTTCGCAGATGGGACCTTCTCATCTGCGAAATGGGTGGCTATTTTTGTAATTTCGATTTTTTTTGGCTATTTTTGTAATATCATTAGTGTAAATGGCTATTTTTGTAAATTTCTTTTTAAAAAAATAAAAAATAAAAAACTGCTATAGGTTAAAGATGTTAGTGTAAATACATAAGATAATATATTTAGGAGGAATTAAATATCCTCCTACTTTTTGTTCCTAATTTTCTTCCTATCCATTTAAGATGATAACAAGTGTATAAATTAAACATCTCATTCAAATTTTAATTTAATTAAATAACATTTGTCATCATCTAAATTAGGTAGGAATATATTAGACACAAAAAATAGGAGGATATTTAATTTCTCTATATTTAGTTAAGAGGTTAAAGATAAAGTTGTAAGGTGCTGTTTGTTTTTCTGAAGCCAAAATGTCTGCAGTCTGCGGACCACATCTGCAAGCCTCTGCAGCAGAAGAGGTGGACCAAACGTCTGCAGTCTGCAATAAGAAGACTGTTTGTTTTTTAACGTCTGCAGGCTGCTGAAATAAACTGAATTTTAAATAAAATTATTTTACAAACTTAAAATGATTTTTCAACACCAAAATTTTAATAATAATAGTCTTATAACATTGAAAATAAAATTCATGCAACTAAATTAGTCATACAATAAAAAAAAATGTTTTACAATAACAATTTCATTTAAAACAATTCAATGTATATTGTGCATCAACTGATCAGCAATTTCATCACGTAACTGAGTCATATATTCACGGTCTGCTGCAGTACCATATGTTGGAATCCCGTCTTCATCATCATCAATGGCCACATTGTTATTTCGAAACGGGACATTGGGTTCATCGTATCGTGCGAAATACTCATCACTCAATCCTTCTTTCCTTATATAATTATGAAGCGCGAAGCATGCCATGACAATGTTTCTTTGTGTCACAAACGGGAATGGTGCCATCCTCTTCAATATAGGGAAGCGTGCTTTCAAAACACCAAAAGCACGCTCAATGACATTTCGAAGTTTTGCATGTCCATGGTTAAATTTTTCTTTATTGGTCAATGCACGTCTTTGACGAAAATCTCCAAGCCAATACCTCACATTACGATAAGGGGCCATAAATCCTCGAGTGTGTGCATACGCGGCATCACAAAGATAATATTTGTCTGAAAAAAATGCAAAACACTAATCAATTTTCAAATTAAAATGAAAATATTAAAAAAAAACAAAAAATTACCTGGTGGTGGAAACGGGAATGATGCTTGTGGATCGGCTACTGCTTCTGATAATATTCTAGAGTCATGCGCTACCCCTTCCCACCCGGTCACAACAAATGTAAAAATCATATTGAAGTCACATATTGCCAATACGTTTTGGTAGCAATCTCCCTTTCCCCTACTTCTATATAAGTCTTGTTTCTTAGCAGGGACAACAACATGTATCAAAGTGCCATCAAGTGCACCAACTGCTCCTTTGAAAACCCTTCGTAGCCTCCTATTATGTCCTGGAATGTTTGGATTCGGATTAAAAGATGTTGGTACTATAACATCTTGTGCGAAAAGCATCATTTTTTCCAACACTTCATAAAAAAATTTATGAATTGTTTGCTTCGAGTGTTGAAATCTCCGCTTGATAATCACGTAACGTTGATTATGTCCGATCATCATCAAAAACATAGCCATCTTTTCCTCAACTGATACATGTTTGCTGTCCTTTAATGAGTAATTTGCTCTAAAATGAGCACATAGTCGTACAAAAGATTCACGGGACATGCGTAATACTTCAACACATTGTAAACGATTACGGTGTAATAACTCCAATGTGTATTCGTGTCCCGTCATTTCCGAATCATTATCCCGCAATCGTTTCACACCCCTCTTCCAAAAATAACGGATGTATAGGTACATTAGAATTACGAGAAGTAACTTTTGATCGTGATCCATATGAACCTAAAATCAACAAAGTAGAACTTTAAAAAACATTACATAAACCATATTTCAAGTATCAAATAAACATTCCATTTATCATATTTCAAGCCAAAATAACATTACATAAACCATATTTCAAGTATCAAATAAACATTCCATTAATCATATTTCAAGTACCAACAAGGGCAAAAAGACCTAACAAAATAGTTCCAACAAAGGCAAAAACATTTAACAAAGTAGTTCCAACAAGGGCAAAAAGTCCTAACAAAATAGTTCCAACAAAGGCAAAAACATTTAACAAAGTAGTTCCAACAAGGGCAAAAAGACTTAACAAATACTTTCAACACTAGAAAATCATCGAACAATCTTCCCATCCTTCAAAACTCCTAAACTGGTACCCGTCATCTCAAGCCACCCTCGTAATATCTCGGGAACATCGGGCAAATGCATCCACATCTCTCTCATGTTCAGGGTTCCTCCAAAAATATGATATGCGACAAAGCGTAAAGGATCTGTAGGGCCTAACTGAAGGACCTCTAACTTCTCTAAACACTAAGGAATTGTGTACCCTTTAGTCAAACTTTGTAGAGCTTTCTTCATTTCAAATGCTAAATCGTCAGCAGTAACAGAAGTTCCATCAGGTGAAGAAGCAGACGATGAGGCACTAGGAGCTACAGGAGTTGAGGGTTTAGCCCTTTTGTTGGGGTTACCGGATGGTGTAGCAGTATATGGTGAACCAGTATATGGTGAACCAGCAGAAGGTGAAGTAGCAGAAGGTGAAGCTGCAGAAGGTGAAGCAGCAGAAGGTGGTGGCTCATGATGAGAAGTGTCAACACCATCATCATCCATTGCATCAAAAGGGGTGGCGGTGATCTGAAGTGGTGGAACACGACAGGAGGATGCGCCAGCTACTGATGATGATTGGGTTGAGTAACTCCTAAAATTACCAGTAGCACTATTTCCATCAAAAAGACGTGCACAAAGATCTGGAAAAGGCAATGGAATTGTTCTCAAAGAAGCAGCTTTCGGATGCCCCTAAACCCAAATGTAACAAGAAATAGTATAAGAATATTTGGCAACTTCAAACGTAAATGTTATATATATATATATATATATATATATATATATATATATATATATATATTATTGTATATTAATGTATATGTACCTTCTTAAAATCATCCCACTCCTCGGCTGTTAAATTAAAAGTGTTTGTTTGAGAATTGTATATATTACCGGTTTTGTTTTTTAAATATACCCATCTAGTGTATTTGGCTTTCAGATTGTCATATGCGTTTTTCATTTGTTTTTGAGTCAACTCAACCCCAAATTTCTCCTTAAGAACTCTTCCAAGCCTTATCCATGAATCTTTCTGCAAACTCAATCCTTTTCTACCAACACTCTCTACTTCTTCAATACAAGTATCCAATAAGCATTTTAAGTGCTCATTGGTCCATTGTTGTTTTTCTCCCATCTCTAATAACCAAATAACAATAAACAGTGAACAAGTAACATCATTATTTCAAGAAAAAGTTTTTATTTTCACAACAAATTTGTAATTTTGTTTTATTTTCAATCACAATAATGTGAAACTTTTTATTCAATTATAAATAATCTCAATTAGAGTGTTTTAATTCTAATTATAAGCATTGTTGATAATATGGGTGAGTGGAAATTTAACATTGTTGGTGTACATAACCTAAATTACATTCAAGGTATCATATAAGCATCATAAGAACATCATTCAAAACAAATAACAATAAACAGTGAACAAGTAACATCATTATTTCAAATAACAATAAACATCATTATTTCAAGAAAAAGTTTTTATTTTCACGACAAATTTGTAATTTTGTTTTATTTTCAATCACAATAATGTGAAACTTTTTATTCAATTATAAATAACCTCAATTAGAGTGTTTTAATTCAAAGTTTTCTAAAAAACTTTATAAATCAAATAAACTTCACTTTAACGACAAAAACTTTACTTCTATAAAATAAACAAAACTTATGTCTCTTTTTGATGCTTTCTATCATATACATACAAAATCAACAATCATATACATATACACTATCATATAAATATACACAATCAATAATCATATATATATATATATATATATATATATATATATATATATATATATATAACTTTGAATTACTGCATATTTAAGTAATACAATCAATTCTAATTATAAGCATTGTTGATAATATGGGTGAGTGGAAATTTAACATTGTTATTGTATATAACCTAAATTACATTCAAGGTATCATATAAGCATCATAAGAACATCATTCAAAACAACAGGAGGCATGCCCAGGCTTGACAATAACATACTTAAACAGAAAATTTGGGTGCTACCATTACAGGTTTAACATCTAGGTTCAATTGCTAATTGAAGCACAAACACATACATAATTGGACTTTTTCGATCAAACAAACCAAGTTGGAGATGTTACAGGTTTAACATCTCGGTATTTCATTCAAAATCAAATCCAATTTCACATTCAAAGATAAATTACTTTCATTACAAATGTTTTTATTTTACAGCTCTTTTATGAGTTATGCATCAATTAACATAAATTCTGAACTATAGCTTCAATGCAACAGAAAGAAGGGAATAACAGAAAGTCGGGAGAAGAAGGAAGATTGACAGCAGGAAAAAAATAATAATAAACGAACCTGTGAGGTCGAAGTCTCCGGTGTAGCTGTGGGGGCGACGGTCTCCGGCCGGTGGCTTCACAAGGGAGTCGCTGGTTAACGGCGGCGAGCAGGGTGGAGTACGATCGATCGATCGATCGAGGGTTGTTGTTCGCCGGCTGCTGCAATCGACTATGATGGTCGGAAAATCGGAGGACGCCGGATCGGAGAGGAAGGCGGCGATCGATGGCTTTGATCGGAGAGGAGGGTTGCGACGGTGGTGGTCGCTGCAAGGTGGAGCACGATCGATCGATGGAGGGTTTTTTCTGGGAGGGTTGGACGAGGACTGGAGGCGGAAGCAAAAAAAAAAGACGCGTTTTTTTTTTTAGGTTAAAGGGCTTGCAGACTTTAGAAGATGCTATCCCATATCTGTGTGGTGAAGACCTCGCGCAGACGTTTTTATGTCTGCGCACTTCAGAAAAACAAACAGACTGCAAACCATTATGTCTGCGTGTGGTCTGCGCCTCGCAGACAGAAGAGGTCACGCAGACCTGCAGAGAAAAAACAAACACCCTCTAAGTTTTTGAGTCAAATGCCATATAAGAGGTTAAAAGATAATGTTTGAAATATCAAGTGACTTGTAGTTTATCCATATAAGATCCCGTTTGATAGATATATTTTCAGATCCAAACAGATCTTTCTGACTGAATAGGTCAGAAAGACCGTTTGATTTGTACAAAAAAAGTTTTTCCCGATAAGATGTTTTTCCTGTAAATCTCCAAAATTATATCTTTTTTGACCGAATGAACCGAAAAGACAATTTTGCCCTAAACTTCGCATCTTTCTTTCTTTTATTCTAGCTTAGGATTTAGGAGAACCATTTCATATATAAAGTTTTAATCCGAACAACAATCTAATACGATCATTTTTCATTATCCAATAAGTTATTCAAATTTACAATCAAACAATAAATTTTCTGAGACGCATGTGTCCATAAAGCAATATCAATGGAGCTAAGTTTTATGAAAAATTGTCTATAGGGGCTGTTTGTTTTTTTTGTGAAGAGCTGCGCAACCACTTTTGTCTGCGCCGCGCAGACAACGCGCAGACATATGCCCTCGTAGAGTGTTTGTTTTTTGGAAGTGCGCAGACCAAAAAACGTCTGCGCGAGGTCTTCCTGGCGCAGACATGAGCCACTGTCTTCAAAGGTCTTCAGACCTCATTTTAACCCAAAAAAAAAAAGACCACCCGTTTTTTTTTTCTTTCTCTTTTTACTGAAAATGCATTTTTAATCGTTATTTTAATCGTTATGACATGAAATTAAGTTTGAAAAATTAATTTATTTCAATAGCTGCAAACGTTAAAAACAAACAGTCTTCTTATTGCAGACTGCAGAGATTTGGACAGATGTGATCCGCAAACTGCAGACATTTTAGATTAAAAAAACAAGCAGCTGGTTCAAATCTTTTTTGGAAACAAAAATAAATAATTTAAAAATAATAAAGATAGTGGTTAAAAGTTAAAACTTATACCGTGGGTTGTTTTTGTTAACTGGGATGCTTCGAGCGTTCAGCTAACCCAATTCTTCCATCCTCAAACTCCGTCACTTCCATCTGATCTATCTGCTACTCTCAGATGGCAATATATCCAGATGCTTCAATCCAAAGATTTTTCAACAACTCACTTCTAACATCAAGGTAAGAAAGAATCCCTTCATTCCTCAACAATCGATAGTAAAGATGATGCACACCACTTGTTTAAACTCAGCTGTATCACTTAGATGCGGAGTTTCTCCATCTTCACTGTTCACTGATCCTACTTACTACCTGGATGCTAGATTCGATAGCAGCCCTTTACTCATCTCATCATCATTCAGCTCTTCTTGTTGTTGTTGCTGCTGTTGCTGTGCTGCTAATAGTAATTTAATTTATAACAGATTGCCCAGAATAAACCCTAGCTATTTATGTAACGGGTTGCGACAATCCACCTTGATTCAATTCTCACCTAGTAAAAGATTAACCTTTCATGGTAGTAGGAGACAATCTTGTAACACTACTTCTGGGTTTTCGTCGCTTACTGATTCTGATCGAAATTATTACTACGAAAAACTTTCCTCTTTCAAGGAGAAGAGGAAATTAGGAAAGGGTAGGTGTTGGGGGATTGAAGATAAGAAGAAAAAACAGTCATTTAGTAATGCCATTGAAGATGATTGCTTGAATGAAGTTGAAATGTTGCTTGATTTGTTGACTGAGGAGGTTGGGTTAGAGAGCATTGGTGTTAGAGAGAGAAAAAGAACCAATAAGAAGGATCATCATCATGAAACAAAAATTGTGGGTTCTGGTGCTTTAAAGAGGGATTTGAAGCATGATAATAAATCTGTAAAAATCCAGTGTATGGAGGAAGAAGATAGGAGATTAATCAACAAGAAAAAAGAGGAAGAAAGGGGAACTTTTGTGAAAAAGAACAACCATGAAAGAAAGAAAGAAGGGTCTAGTTGTTCATCTTATTACTCGGTTTCTTCTACAGGTGAGTTTGATAGTGACAACGATGTTGAAATCAAACATGATGTTGGAGAGTCTTCAGGTGATTATAAAGATGATCAGAGAATTGATTGTTATAAAAGCTATGATGAAGAAAATGTTGAAAGGCGACATGAGATCTTGAAGAAGAAGAATAGTGCAGAAAGTTATTATGGGAATGAAGAATGGAGAAAGAAATCTGAAAAGAAGCTTAATGTAGAGTCTAGTCAACAGCAATCACAAGTTTCTATTAGTCAACATAGTGAAAAAGCTAATAGAATCACTGATCAATCTCAATCAAGAATGAAGTATGAAAGATTCATGGAATCATCAGAAACAGATAATAAGATGGAATTGAACTCCACCATGCAAAATAAGTTAAATACATCATCAGTTCAGAATGTTACTCAAAAAGACGAATACAGAAAGCAATCAAATGTGATTTCAGAATCATCAGTTCATCATAATAACATGAAAAAAGCCTCTTCATCTTCTTCTTCAATGCTTGAGGCGAGAATTAAAAACCAGGAACACAATTCAACACAAGTTAGTTCTCAGATTGAAGAAAAACAGGAAAGAATCAATCAGTTGACCTCATTACAAGAATCTAGATTAAAATCACAACAAATCTCAAGAATTTCAGATACTCAAATTTCTAAAACCGGGAATTCTTCTGTTTCACATAAGCAATCTGAAATCAGAAATGAAAAACAAGAACTGCATTTAGATACTTTAAGAACAACAGATAGAAGAGAAGAAAAACAGGAAAGAATCAATCAGATGACCTCATTACAAGAATCTAGATTGAAATCACAACAAATCTCAAGAATTTCAGATACCCAAATTGCTAAAACTGAGAACTCTTCTGTTTCACACACGCAATCTGAAATCAGAAGTGAAAAACAAGAAGTGCATTTAGATACTTCAAGAACAACAGATAGAAGAGAAGAAAAACAGGAAATTTCAAGAATTTCAGACACCCAAATTGCTAAAACTGACAACTCTTCTGTTTCACACACACAATCTGAAATGAGAAGTGAAAAACAAGAATTGCATTTAGATGATTCAAGAACAGCAGAGAAAGTTACCATGGCTGAAAAACTTGATCTAAGAAGAAAAAAGAATTCATCATCTAGGGTGGAATTAATGGAAGGAACCTCAGAATCAATGAAAACTGGTAAAAAAACAACAAAAGCTTCAAGTTTTAATATTGGCATGGAGTCATCTACTACTTACAAAGCTTTAAAACTGAACCCTGAAACCGAAACTAATCTTCAAGAAAGTGGGGCCCAGTTATCTCAACATATTGAAACCATCAATGAGAGTTCCAGAATCCATCAATCTGATGTGATTGCATCAGCAGATGAAGAACACAAATCCTCAAGTCATTTTCTTGGTGACTTTGTCAAGAATGCAAATAACAAACTCACAGCTTCTCAAAATCAACAAGAGGAGAAAACCCATGAACAGGATTTCGTGCATGAAGATGATGATGATAATAATACTACATCTGGTGAATCTTTAAAAAAGAATGGAAGATCATTATGGAATGTTATTGGAGATGTAATCCGATTTCGTTGGTCATCTGAAACACATATTTCAAAAGCTTCATCGATTCAATCAAACAGTGAAGCATGGTTTTCTGGACATGAACATGAACATGAACATGAAGATTCAAATGATGAAAATGTGAAAACAGGAATTACAAAAAGTCGATCTAGATCTAGATCTAGATCTAGAAGGCGTACAGATGATTCACCATTGTTGTTATTGTCGTCATCATCAAACCCTAATCAAGAATCTTCATCCAAAACCATGTCTCCTCCATCTGTAACTGAAGAATCATCGTTTCCAGTTCCTGCAATTCGCATGAGAAGGTCTCCTGTAGTGAAAAGATCAGGGAGTAGTGACACTGATGCATCTGGTAGTGGCAAAATGGTAAATACAACTGAAATATCACCTGCTTCCAGCAGTGGCAAAATGGTAAATACGAATGAAACATCACCTGGATCTAGCAGTGGCAAAATGGTAAAAGTGGATGAACCGATTTTATCTACTGGAGCATTGAGGCAAAGGAAACTTGCAAGAATAGATCAAGTTTCTAAAGATAGATTTGATGAATGGGAGGAAGCTTATGATATAGAAACAAAACAAAGAAAAATTGATGAATTTTTTATGAAAGAAGCGATTTTGGAAGCTAAAAAGGGTGCTGATTTTTGGGAAGTTCCTGTTGGAGCTGTTCTTGTTCATGATGGGAAGATAATTGCTCGTGGATATAATCTGTAAGTTTCTTCAAATCTGAAAATAAAGACTTAATGTATTAAGACACTCACCTTTTATGTATTTTTCGTTCTTCTTTTTTCCTCCAAATTAATGAATGGATGAATATTGTGAAGTTTGTTTTTTTGAAATGTAAGGGTAAAATGGTCATTTAGTAAAATTTGTGTTTTTTAGGGTAGAAGAGTTGCGTGACTCCACTGCTCATGCTGAGATGATTTGTATACGCGAGGCGTCAAATAATCTACGCTCATGGAGACTTTCGGTAACACATTTTAGCTGTGTTTGGCACATCACTGCTAGCTGATTTTTCGAGCTTTTTTGAATTGTCATGTTTGGTAAACCAAAAAGTAGCATATAAGTTAGCTTTTTAAAAAAGCTACTTAGACTAGCTTTTTTTAAAATAGCTTTTTAAAAAAATTCCAAATATACCCCTTAGTTAATTGTAGAAAACATATTCGTTGTATGTTGATAACTAAGTTTTATTTATTGTAGCTTTGGAGGGATAAAAATCTTATGTTTGCAAGTTTTTGTTGGTTTTACCCAAAGTCAAATTAGGTCCATTAACCAGAAAAAAGGATAAAACCGAACATTTCTGTAACGACTTTAAAAAATCAGAGGGTAAATTTGAAAAAAAAAAAAAAGTTGCAAATATCCGGTTTTAACGAACCTAAAATCCGTAAAAAGGTAAAACCAACAAAAACTTGCAAATCTAAGGGTTTTTATGTCATTATCTCTTCTTTTAAATAACTTATAGTTTTACCAAACGTTATTTTTAATCAACTAGTTTTTTAGCTAGTACACCAAACATAACCTTTATGTCCATTTTTTTTTCACTATCTTTTTATATAATGTTTATATATTTGTGTTGTTCATTTTTTTTTTTTTTTTTTTTTAATATCTTTTTTAGGGTAGCACACTTTATGTAACACTTGAACCATGTCCCATGTGTGCTGGAGCAATCCTTCAAGCCCGGATTGACACTCTTGTATGGGGAGCTCCAAATAAGCTCCTTGGAGCCGATGGGAGTTGGATCAGGTATTTTTCAGGGTTTAGGGTTTTAGGGTTTTCAAGATTTAAAAATTTTTCATTTTGATTTTTTTTTTTTGTAGATTGTTTTCTGATGTGGATGGAGGAAATGGGTCTGATAAACCAGCTGCCCCTGTCCACCCTTTCCACCCCAACATGAGTGTAAGAAGAGGGGTATTATCGTCAGAATGCGCAGATGTGATGCAACAGTTTTTTCAGTTAAGAAGAAAGAAGAAAGAGAAGAAAGTTGAAACTGAAACTGAACCACCAACTCCACCACCTTCGTGTCTTCCAATCGTTACAAATCGTCATCATCATCATTCAAAGTTGTTGAGTAAGATTCATGGTGCATTCAATGTCATGTTTTGTTTATAGATGAGATGTTTCTTCATTGTATTTAATAATTAGTATTCTTTTTGGGAATGTGTTTGTTTTGATATGTTGTGTGATTCAAAATCAAAAACCATGTTGTGATCTCTTCATCTTTTTATGATATGTAAGTTTAATAGTTTTCATTTTTAATAGATTTTAGTTGAAGTATTATTGAGAAACTAAATGCATTTTGTTAAATATCTGAACGTGAATCAAATAAAATATTTTCAAGTATACTTTATAATTGGGATAAGTAAATGTGCATATGTTTATTTATTTATTTATTTCTTATAAAGAAAATAATAACAAATTACAAATCTAACCTAATAAATGAAAACGATTTTGACACATGTCATGTTCTTTATGATTTTGTCACATCTAATTTTCTTAAATATTATGGATTTTTTTATTTTTCACGTTTTTTTCATTTTACTTACATTAAAATTTTTGGAATTAAATACATAGTTTATATATATGTAAAGTATTTAATTATATTAAACTCTTAGAGTAATTGCTATACAAATTTTAATTTCCTTCCTTTTTAATTCCGTGATAATATACATATGTTAGTCAATTTCATAGCTAAACTCTATTAACAATTCCACTTGTCATTTATTTTCTTTTTCATTTCCAATATATCATTAATTTAGTTTCTATAAATTAAACATATCATAATATCATAATGATTATTAATTTCAAATTTTATATTTTAAATTTCAATTTCAAATAAATTTACAATTTAAATCTTTGTATTTAATATTTTCTTATAATTAATCAGTTTAGTACACGGTCTAACAACTAAACATATAATTTTAATTTATTTATTTTTCCTATGTTTTTTTTTCTCATAAATTTCACTTAATTTAGATTTCAAATTCAAATAAACTTCTCATTCAATCCTTTTTATTTAACATTTTCTCACATAATATAAATACAAATAGTATATAGATATTATTATAACTAATAAAATAATAGAAAAATCACATTAACTTTTGTTTTCGTATGAAGCTATTTAAATTAACTGATTGATTACCTTGTTTATAAGCTAAAACTGAATCTCATTAGTTCGTATGCCACGCTAATTATCATTTAAAAAATCTAGAGTATATATTTAATAATGTTAACAAAATAAAAGATAAAATTATTATATATAGTTAGAAAATTGTGAAAAAATGATAAAAATATTATATTACCGTTACAAATTTCATATTTAATATTAGATTTTAAAAATGTGACTGCTTTTAAAATTAAATAAATTAATTAGTCAATATGTACATAATTATAAATTTTAGAAAAGATAAAAAAAAAATATTATATAACCATCACAAATGGCTATTTAATATCATAGATAAAAATTAAATAAATTAATTAGTCAAATAATAATAATAATAATAATAAAGATTTGAGGTGTTAAATATAACAAGGAATTAAAATGTATTATTATTTAGCTGATACTAATTGCACTATACCCAAAACTCAAAACATTTGGTAAAATCTATGTGGTTGATTATATTGAAATTTTTTTTTTTACATTTTCCAATAGTAAAAATTTACATTTTCCAATAAGGGTAAAATGGTCAAAATATTGAAAAACTCTCCCACCAGCAACCTTGTAATCCAAAAGCACCAGGTCTTAAAAAAACGGATGAAACGTTTAAGCATATGACACCAAAACATCCCCACACCATAAAACCAAACAGGGGTAAAATGGTCAAAGTAGAGAAAAGACAACCACACCCCACCCACTATTTATCTTTAAACTTGGATCCAATTGCAGCTGAAAACCACCAATGATTACCTTTAAGATATGATTAAACAGGGGTAAAATGGTCAAAGTGATTTTCACATATTAAAAAGAGACACTCTCCCATGAAGATTCTTACTTCTATGTAATTAAAAGTTAGCATTTTCCAAACATTATATGATTCAAAACTCCTTGCAAATAAATATATCTATACTAGCAAAATCCAGATCAAAATTTACAAAATAAATCTAAACTCATGTTGATTTCTTAAACTTGATCTGTTGTATCAGAAGTTATATCTATTTCCTCCCTTAAATCATATTCAACCACAAGATTCAGATTGTCAACAAGTTTGTGATACTGCAAACACCCTGTGCACTGAAAAGTGAAAACAAATAATCCATACATCAGAATTTAAAAAAAGAAAAATAACATTTTTCATTGAATTTGTGATATTGAGAAAATGAAACAGAAAAAATACCTGTACAAAAACTGTCCCTTTTTCATAAGCTAATCTGTTTATGAGCTTTTGTGATCTTACACCACAAGAATTGCAGGTAAAATGCAATAACAAGCTTCTTCTCGGGAGTTTGAGGTCTATTGTTGCTCCCTTCAAGTTTCCATGTTCAAAGAAACAACAATTTAAGTTCAAGAACTGATAAGAAATCATGAATTAAGAAAGATATTTGTGAAATGTTTGATCATTTTCAACTGTAGGCGTTCCATTATCTTGAAATTGTATCCTTTTGGCTTAAACAGAAGTAGTAAAGTAACAAATTATATGAACTTTGTTTGATTCTAAACACAAACCCCTATTATCAATCATACAAAAAAATCTAACTCTCAATTTAGTAGCAACTAAAATTTTGATTATTTGCAGTCAATTCCAGGTTACAGTAATGCCAAATTCATCAATAATTTTCACCAAGTTCGAAATGTCATTGTGAATGATTATAACAAGACAACAAATTAAAAAGAGATGTACATACGGGATTTGATTCGTGAGAGCCAGAAGATCCTTCCGATTCTTGACACGCTTCAGGATTATCTTCAACCAAACAAGAAATCACAACAGGGGAAACCTGTCTTGATTCCTTTGTTTTTGAATAAGAAATCCCCAATCTGTTAACCGAAATGAATTGAGTAATCAAAGGCAGAAACACTTACTTGAACGCTTGTTAATAATTTTAGTAAAAATAAGAAAACTAGATTGGAAAGCGAAGACATGCCTGGGAAATTTGAGGGTTAAGTTAGGTTGAATGAAATTACGACATGGAAGAAGGACAAGTCTTGGTCTTTGAGCTTTGAGCGTTGTAACTAACGAAGGCATAGAAAAGACGGTAGAAGCCATGGAGCCTTGCATCTGTGTTTTTCAGGAACGGAGTGGCACAAAATGGCTCCTTGTTGCCCTGCATCTGACATTGCTCTTTGGTGTAGGAAATCAAAATGACAAAACGGCCCATGCTTTTATGAAATTTTAATTTTAGAGTTTATGGTTTATTAATAACACAACAGAAAATAGCTATTTTTTAATAAAAGTTTATATATAATACACTGATATGCTTTTGAACTTTTTTTTTATTTTTTTTTTTATTTTTTATATATATATTTTTAATAACCATTAATTTTACACAAAATTACATAGATAGTCCATGCATTACAAATAGCCAGAAACTAAGGTTTATTTTATTTTATTTTTAATAATATCAATGATCTCTATATTTTCTAAAACTTTCACGAATAGTATTTTTGTGTCTAACATTGTCTTATTTTAATCATTAACCAAATCATATGCCATTCATGTGAGGGTATTTTAGTATTTTAATGATGTCTTATTTATGTGTTAAATACCCAAATATACCATTCACTATTACACCAATGATCTCTCTCTCTCTCTCTCTATATATATATATATATATATATATATATATATATATATATATATATATATATATATATATATATATATATATATATATATATATATATATATATATATATATATATATATATATATATATATATATATATCGATTGGTCGAATCAATTAGTGATTTCTATTCTAACATTGTAATTATTGGCCTCATACAACTATGTATGATTGCACTACTAAAACTACATTCCATTCTCAGTTGCATCACATACCATATCCATTTCAACTAAGGCCTTGTACGGAGTTTTGGGTTCCTTTTCCATTAAGTACACGTGTGTATCAACACTAATTTCTTTGATTTGATTTATGGAAAAAATGAAAAATTGTTCAGTTGTGGACTTGACTTCTTTCTGATTATTTTTTAGAAGACACATTTGAATCTATAATTTTGAAGTTCATGTATTTTATATTTTTGGCACGTTCGCAATAATCTACGCATATCAACCTTGAATCAAGCAACAATTTCTCTTCCAACATTATAATTATTGACCTCGGATGACTATGTATGATTGTACTATTAAAACTCTCGGTCGCTCCATTCCCAGCTGCATCACATACGATATCCACTTCAATGAAGGCCTTGTGCCAAGTTTCGGTTATCTTTTCTATTAGTTACTTGTATGTATCAACACTAATTTACTAAGTTACTATATATATATATATATATATATATATATATATATATATATATATATATATATATATATATATATATATATATAATATATATATATATATATATATATTGTTTTGTTTTTTGTTTTTTTCTATATAAGGCACCTTTAAATCTATTGTTGAAGTTCCTGTATATATTTATTGCATATTCGAGATAATCTACATGTGGTATCATTTCTTTCACAATTTCTATTAATCCATTGTAAACGATAAAAATAGTTAGATCTAAAAGTATACCATGAAACCAAAAAATGTTAGGAAGACATAGCTTTGTTTGTTAATGATGATTGTCATTCCATCACCGGTGCTAATATCTATTCCTACGTCTTCCATCACCAATTCTATAAACTGTTTTTATGTCTCCTTGTTTCCAACGAAAAAAGCTGTGCGGATAGCTATGTACATATGACTGTTTGCATCATGTCTAAGTGCTAAAAGCAATTCCATTTGACAAACAATAAAAAAGCACCCATCTAGGTTAATTACTTTCATGACCCTCTATCCACCCATTATTTATACTCTTGAAAAAAACATAGAAACGATTAAAGTAGTTATTTCCAACCTGCATGGCATTAAAAATTTAAAATCTAATTTAATAGTTGAACCAATGTTATATTTCCCTAATTCCTTTATATAGTTCCACAATTTTGCATAATGGGCTTCCAAACAACCTTCAAGCTTTACAAAAGCAACTTTCATGGTTCTTTTGCACTACTTCCACACTAGACTTAAAATAAACCTTTACTAAATGTTAGCTTTGTACAATTATGGCTTGCTTCCAAGGACTTAATTTGAAAACTTTTTTTGTTGGTCATCAACAATGTCCAAAGGCAAAACAACAAACATTTCTTTTAATCTTTTTTGGTCTCCCATAACCCACAACTACTCAAAGTTTGTCATTGGTCTCGTAATGCAAATCATTTCTGTTTGCAGCTGAGCAACTTGTAAGTAAGTTTCTTTGTTGATCTTTTTATTCAAAGACCATGTCACAATTCGGTATCATTGTCTTTCAATCTAAGATAGGACCATTGTCGGGTTTTTTTTTTTTTTTTTTTTTTTTTTTTTTTTTTTTTTTTTTTTTTATAAATAATTTCTTAGAGTAAATTATTGAAATCATCCCTATGGTTTGGTTAAAATTACACGTTTGGTCCCTAACTTTTTTTCACACCCGGATCATCCCTATGATTTGATTTTGTTGCGTTTTTCATCCCTTACATACATAAAGTTAGGTACCAAATGTGCAATTTTAACCAAACCATAGGGACAATCTGAGTGCAAAAAAAAGTTAGGGACTAAACGTGCAATTTTGACCAAACCATAGAGATGATTTCAATAATCTACTCATTTTATTATTATTATTATTATTTTTAACCTCATGGCCAGTGTCGGTTGCATTTTTCTCCTTTTTAAATTTCTTGTTCTATTGGGCAATCATCAAACAAACCATTATCTGCATACGACAAAACTCCTGTGTTATTCAAAAAACTTTGGATAGGGTACAAAATGTTTTTAACTTGCATTGAAGGTCTAAAATCTAGAATTTACTGTGATTTTAATCCAAAAAAATTGAAAGGACTGTTTTGCTCTTCTCATTTCTTTTTTGTATTTTTATAGTTGTTTTAATACCTTATTAATTAAAAAACAAACAAAAGAAAATTAAAAAATATGTCTGGTCCACCCAACCCACATGTTCTCTCTCTCTCTCTCCTCTCTCTCTCTCTCTCTCTCTCTCTCTCTCTCGTAAACACACCGACCCAAATTTGTCTTTCTTTTTCACCTCCAAAAGCATTGAACTGCCCTCTCCATTAGAACCAAAAGTTGCCTTCTACTCCCACAAATCCATTGCAATCCTTTCCCGTCAGCAACCTGAAATCAGATGTGAGGAAAAAGTTTCACGAACTGGTCTAGAGACTTTTGAGATGGTTGCTATGTTCTGTTATGCCTTGAAAATCGAGTTATCGTCGTCCAACGTCGCTTATATATGTTGCGCATCAGAAGTTTGAGAAGCCTCTCACCGTCATCGATCCATCTCTATTTAGTTTGTCAGAGGACGAAGAAACATCGAGTGCTGGTGGCAAAAATATGGGAGCCACCACTGGATCCACCACCATTCATGAAGATACAACTCATCACTTACTATATTTCCCCTTCCAAAATCACCATTAAAGATCTGCTTGATAAACCCCTCAATACCGTATCTCCACCACGTTTCAACAACAAAAGATGTCCAACAAAATTAATACCCTAAATATTACATACTAAAATAGTGTATAGTGGTAAAGGGATCGTATCCATGGAGATTGGTTCAATTTAAATCTCTATGTAAATCACTTGTTCACGTACTTGTAAAACAAAAGTAAAAGTAAAATGGGGGGTTTAAATCTTTTTGATTGTTTGACAAAATTAAAACTAGCTAGAATGTAAATATGACAAGTAAACAAGTAAAAGATTTGATTAAATTCAATGAAGTGAAATTGGTTGATATTGGGATACACCACATGGATGACATAGTTGACTTATCATTAGGCTAAAAGAAACAACAATTGTGAATTGGTTTAACTTGGCTATAGCAACTCATAAGCACAAATTACCTCAACTCTTCTTAGATATTAAAATGATTAGAGGAGCTCTAACACATTCTCTTAAATAAAGTCACAAAATCAATGAAGCATATAATCTTGTGAAAATCAATTAGCTTTAGGTTCTAAGAGTTACCAAGTCCAAAAGATAATCAAATGCTTATATTATCATTATGGAGGAAACATTCCCATGGTCTAAATGAAATGAAAACAAACATATAAACCATTTGTTTCTTACTAATTTGAGGGTCCATTACTTAACCAAGAAATTAGTCAACAAAAATAAATATTTATTCATCTAAGCTCATGATCAAAGATAAACAAACATAACAAGATGTTTAGCTAGAAAACATTCCCATAAACTTCAACACAAGAGAGCATTTAGTCTTCAAAGAAACCAATCAACCATCGGATTTAATCCTAATCAACCAAATTTTGTTTAGTCAAACATGGCTAAACTCAAAGAAACAAAGTTAGAGAAGATTGTACCATACATTCTACAAGATTCAAGAGCAAAAATGATGAAGTTCTTGAGGGTTCTTGGCCTTCCAAAAGCTCCAAAATCTCCAAAGAGTTGTTCAAATTTCGGATGTGCAAGGGTGTGCAAAAGATGCACACCAACTTTCACCACATAGCCCTCTAAATGAAATTCCGAAACTGCCCCTGTAGAGTCGTGCATGGCCGCGCAACCCTGCGCGGGTGGGTTTGCACGGGTGGTATCAGATCATGAGTTCTTGAGAGTTTGGGCCTCCACAGCTTAGCCCACTTGGCCCAGTTCAAGTCCAAACAACTTCTAGCCTATTTTTATTTAAGTTCACTTTATTTTAAGCCCAATTTGGCTTCTCCAAATCCTCCAAAGCTCGTAAACTCGCCCGATTAACGACCTCCACACGATCGAATATTCTCCCGCATCTTGCAATTTTAAAGTTCATTTTCTCCAAGCCTTCAAATAATCATCCAACCCACTCCATGCATCAACTCCATTATCACTAAGCCTATAATTCTCGACTTCCTCTTATTCCAATCGCTTTCCAGACGTCCCGAACACTCCCGCTCCACTAATCTCCATGAAATCTGTAATAAAGCTCACGAAACTAGAAAGTACCCGAAGTGGTCATAAAATAACAAAAAGGAAAATATGCATGGAAATTAACTAAATTATAGATTAAATAAACT